CGACTCGAGCCGCTGCAGCGCGGTGAGGTCGCGCCGGCCCGGCTCGGGCGCCGGCCTGGGCAGCGACTCCGACGGAGTCGAGGCGACGGCTGGGAGGTCGCGCGCCGCAGGCGTGGACGGCGTGTCCGGCGGGGTGGGCGGCACGGGCGGGGTGGGCGGCATGGGCGCGGCGGCCGGCGCACGCGCCTCCTGCTGCGGAGGGTCAAAGGAGAGGGCCGTGGGCGGGGGGCCGTCGCCCGCGATCCGCACTCGCACTGCGGCCGCCGCGGCGCGGGCGATGTTGCCCGAGGAGGGGGGCGTGGCGAGCGAGGAGCAGCCGAGGGCGGTGCGGCTTAGCGGGGTGGCTCCGAACCCCGGCTGCCGGCGCAGCTTTGCGGGCGACTGGCAGTCCACATTCTCAGTGACGAGCGCCGCGTCGGCCACTTTCGTCTTGGACTCGGGCGGCACCGTCGACGCGGGCCGATCGGCGGACTCGAGGTTCAGAACTGCGCCGATGTCCAAGTTGTTGTCGGTCGCTCTGCCGGGCGCTCCGGCGACCGCCTCGGCCAGCGCCGGCTCGAGCGAGCGCCGCCGGCTTGGAGTCGGTCGCTCGGGCGTCGACCGGAGCTTGTCCAGCGCAGTCGGATGCTTGGCGAGGCTGGGCGGTGTGCGCGGCAGCACCTTCGACCTGCTGCTCGCCCGCGATGCCGCGGTCTGGCGCAGGTAGCCGGGCGACGCGCGAGGCTCCACCATTCGATGCTCTGTTTGAACTCACTCTTGCGCATATTTTTTTTTCGTGCCTCCTCATTTGACGTTTCAAGACCCCGGTGTGTGTGTGTGTGTGTGTGTGTGTGTGTGTGTGTGTGTGTGTGTGTGTGTGTGTGTGTGTGTGTGTGTGTGTGTGTGTGCGTGTGCGTGTGTGTGTGTGTGTGTGTGAAGGGTTGCGCGAGCACATGCAGGCTAAGCACCCGCGAAACCGTATGGGCACGAACCGCGGAAGAGAATTCACGATCCCGTTTTGTTGTGGTGCATAGTAGCAAGACGTGCTCTAGACAGCTAAGGGCTAAGTAAGACGCGAGAATGGCGGGAGAATCTCTCGCAAATGACCAGCGAAGGGCGCAGTGAAAAACATTAAAACAAATCTTGCAATCGCCTTGTAGAGCTCTATTCATGGTTAGGCCCACCCTCGGTGAACTGGTTCATGAAGCGCTTTGCTCGGCCAGTCCTCCTCCTCCTCGCCGCCGCCCTGCCGCTGGGCGTCGCCGCGGCCGCCTGGCACCACGCCGGTCCGCGCTCAACGCGGAGCTCTCGGGCGGCGGCGCTTCGGCAGCAGCTTCCGGCCGCCCCGCCGCTGCCAGAGGAGGGCCACGAGATTGAGGTGCGGTGCGAGCGAGTCGCGTACGGCGGCCTCGGCATCGCCCGGACGGACGCGGGCGCGACGGTGATGCTGAGTGACCACACCGTGCCTGGCGAGCTGGTCCGCGCCTTGGTCACGCGGCGGCGTCGGCGGCACGTCGAGGCGCGGACGACGGCGGTGCTCGAGCCGGGCCCGGCGAGCGTGGCGCCGCCTTGGTCTGAGCTCTTTGCGTCGTGCGGCGGCTGCCAGCTGCAGCGCATGGCCTATGCAGAGCAGCTCGCTACCAAGCGCCGGTGGGTGATCGACGCCATCGCGCGCTGCCCTGGAGGCGCCGCGGCGGTGCTCTCCCGCGCCTCTCCCGCCCACGCCTCTGGGGCGGGGCACAGCGCGACGCCGGCGGCGCTGGCGGCGGCGGCGCTCGAGCCGATTGTGCGCGCGACGGTGCCGTCGCCGAAGCAGACGCGCTACCGCAACAAGGCCACCTTCTTCTTTGCCCCCTCCGACAGCGGCCTCGGGCTTGTGGTCGGCTCCAAGGCGGCCGACGACGCGGGCCGAGTGGTGCCGATCGGCGCGGCTGCCGGCTGGCGAAGCCTCAGGAGGAGACACGTCCGTGAGGGTTTCCCGGAGCCTCCCTGCAGGCGGAGAGGGCTGCCCGCTGCAGGCGGAGGAGGCGGACGCCGTGCTCGCCTCCGTCGCGGCGTGGGCGAGGCGGACGGCGCTGCCGAGCTTCGACGTCCGATCCGGAAGGCGCGGCGAGGGCGCGTTGTGGCAGGCGGTCCTTCGCACGGCGGGCGCCGGCGCGGGAGGCGGAGCGGCGGTGCAGCTCGAGCTGGTCACCGCCGGCGCCGCCAGCTCCGCCGCCCTCGCCGCCCTCGCCGCCCTCGCGGCGTCGCTCCTCGAGGCGCACGAGCCGCTCGTGCGAGTGCTGCACACCGAGGCGCCGGTGCCGCCGCCGCCCGACACCGGCGCTTCGAGGGGCCGACGCCGCCAGCGACGCGGCGCCTCTCCAGACGCGTGTGCGGAAGCGGTGGCGGTGCTCGCCGCGCGCGGCGGCGGCGACTCCCTCGCCGTGGCGGTCCAGCGGCCGGGCGGCGGCGCGCCGCTTCGCTTCGAGGTTCCTCCGCGAGGCTTTTGGCAGGTGAACGACGGGGGGACGGACTTGCTTGTGCGGCTGGTTGCCGACGGCGTCGCTCTCGGGCTCGCGTCGGGGCGGGGCAACGAGCTGCCGGTGGCGGCGCACGGTGCGGGGCGAGAGGCGGGGCGAGAGGAGGAGCGGCGGCCAGTGGAGGAGGCGCCTCGCCGCCTCGCCCTGGTCGACCTCTACTGCGGCTCGGGGCTCTTTGGCGTCTCCCTCGCCTCGACGACCTCCTTCGCGAGCGTGCTCGGGCTCGAGCTCGGCGCCGAGGCGGTGGCCGCGGCGGAGGCGAACGCGGCGGCCAACGGAGTGGGGGCGCTGTGCCGTTTCGAGGCCGCCGACCTCGCCTTCTCCGGCAGGCCGCCGGCCGGCCTCGCAGCCGCCCTCGCGCCCGGCGGAGTCGACCTCGCGGTGGTGGTCGACCCGCCGCGTGCGGGACTGAGCGGCGCGATGCGAGGTGCGCTGCGGCGCTCGACCTGCAGCGTGCTGGTGTACGTGTCTTGCGACGCGCAGACGCTCGGCCGAGACCTCGCGGCGCTGTGCGGCGCCGAGGGCGCCGGGACAGCCTTTCGGCTCGCGAGAGCCACGCCCGTGGACCTGACGCCCCACGCGGCTCGTGTCGAGACCGTGTGCGTCCTGTCGCGAGCGTGATTTCCTGTCGGACTCCCGCTCCCGCGCATTTGCCCATTGCTAGGTCACTTGGAGTGCACATCAACACAATATCACAATCACATCTTCTTCTCCCAGGTAGGTAGGTAGAAAGGTGAAGAACAGCCAGGCTCGGACTGGACACCAACGCGGTATGGGTGGACGCCAGACAGATGATGACGACACGCACGAGCGACACACAGACACAAACAAGCTCACAAGACACACAGCCAGCTGGCTGCCACACACCCTGAGTTGGCGTACACATAACTCAAGGCCACATCCTCCCTGTCGCCCCCCCCAGCACTCCAAGGTGCCAAGAGAAACAAACAAGGGCACAACAAACAACAGACGACAGGAAGTGACACGATGTGACTTGTGAGGCTAGAGCAGCATGCTCCACCTCTAGCAATCTCTCCGGCCGGCGAGGCATGGGCGAGACCGTATGTGGGGTCTAGTGAGGTGTCTATGGACGCCCTCCTCATGGGCTAGCTGCCTGCGGCTAGCCCAAATCTCGCACTCACGGACAGTGACAATCAAATGGGTGAGTGTTTGCGAGCTGAGGCGCGTGTGCTAATTCTAGGCCGCACGTCGTGGCACTATGACGTAGGTAGACGTGCGACTGCAGCGCGCCCACCACAGTCTCGGTGGGGCGCGTGTTAGCGATAGAGTTGCGGGGAGAGCCATTCCCGACTTTTTGGAGGCGGCCCCCACGCCACGGGTGCCAGCCGTGCCTTCGCGGGAGTCGTCTCCCGAGCCGCGTCCCGTCGGCACTGTCCCCGAGTGGTCCCGCCTTGGCGGCACACACTCTCGACCAGGACAGTCCTGCTGACGGGAACGTGTCGCGCGCCGGCGACATTGCGGCGTGGTTGTTGTGAAGCGAAGATGGCACGACCACCGCCCTGCTTCGTAGACCGGGCAAGGAGGGGCCTGCTCCCGTTCCGCGAGGAACAGGAGGTCTCCCCCCCTCCCCCGGCCTGAGCAGCGACAGGTGGACGGCAGCCCCTTGAGTCGAGGGCGGCTCTCCCACTCTCGCCCCAGAAAGAAAAACGAAGCTAGAGCTCCGCAGTCAGTGCACCGGCCGAGTCCTCAATACAAGCATGAGCTCCTCCCCTGGGAGCCAGCCCGGTAAACGGCAAAACGTGTGGCAGTCGCCGCCGCTCGACGTCGTCGAGCCCATCCTGTTCGCGCTGAGCTGGTACGACAGCTGGCACGCGTGCGGCGACAAGCGCGGCGAGCAGCACTGGACAGAGGACCAGCGTCTGGCGGCCATGTACAGGCACTCCGGCGTGCTTGCACGAATTTGTATGGGGCTGTCCAGCTCGGTGCGTGCGTGGCGCTCGCCCCTCCGCGAGGCCAACTGGGCGCTGGTCTGCCGCACGAACAGCGCCCGAATCGACGACGAGGCGGTGCACTCCATCTGCACAGCTTGCCCAGCGCTGACGGCACTCGACCTCTCCAGCACGATGATATCGGACGCGGCGCTGTACGAGATCGCTCGCAGCTGCCCGCGGCTGCAGCGCCTGAGCCTGCAGCGCAACGGCTCCGGCGGCAAGCACTTTAGCGACGCCGCCCTCTCCGCCGTCGCCGCGGGCTGCGCCGAGCTACGCTCGCTGCACCTCGGCAACCTGTTGCTCGCCAGCAACCTCCTGGTTTCGCCGTGGGCGGTGTCGCTCACGTCCCTCAACCTCACCGGCTCCGCGTGGCTCTCGGACAGCGCGGTGCGGCGGCTGGCCGCGTGCGCGTCGCTGCAGGAGCTGTGGCTGAGCACCTGCAGCGGGCTGCGCGATGGCGGGCTGGCGGCGATCGCGTCCTCGTGCCTGCGGCTGCGCCTCGTCGACGTCTCCAACTGTCGCCGCGTGAGCGATGAGGGCGTGTGCTGCGTCGCGGCGCTGCCTCTCCTGTCGCACCTCGAGCTCGCGGGCTGCGCGGGCGCGGCGGACAGCCCGCTGCTGGCGCTCGCTCGGCGCGAGGCAGGCCGGCGGCTGGCGTACCTCGGGCTGAGCAGCCGCAACGGACACTTGGCCATCTCAGAGGAGGGCCTTGTCTCGCTCGCTCCCGCGTGCGCGTCGCTCACCCACCTCAACCTCGCCAGCTGCAGCGCGGCGGGGGTGGGAGGGGGCTGCCCACTGTCACCGCTCCCTCCCGCTTGAGCCGCCGTCGCGGCCCTCGTTCGTCCCACTGGCTGTTGGCCCGTCTGCACGTTACCTCCATTATCCCTCCTCCTCCGCGACTCCCTCAAGGCTGGCCGGGCCTCCTTCCACCCAGCGAAGAGCTTCCTCAGGCTCTTCTCCGAGAGGTCATCTACCAGTGTGCTGGCAACACCCCCCCGACGGCTGGGGCTAGTGCATCGTACCCGTCCTCATCCAGCACCCTATAGCGTGAGCCCTTCAGCGCAGCGCCATGCGCTATTCTCAGCGTGGTGAGCGCGCACGCGCCGCGCCTCAGGGTGCTCGATCTGAGCGGTGCGACGAGTGCACCGCGGAGGGTCTGATCGAGGTGTGCCGCCGCTGCCCCCTCCTCGAGCGGCTGCATCTCGAGGGGTGCGACGCGCTCACACCTGCCGCGGGGGCGGCCGTCGCCTCGCTCTCGCGCCTCCGGTACCTCGGCACCCACATGGCATGGCTGCTCCGACCCAACG